CACAAGGGATTCAGAAATGAAGATGGGTGGTGAGATTTGAGGGCAGGTCTTGGAAACGTATTAGATGTGATCTAAGAATGAAGGGATGGAGTTCAGGCTCAATGGAAGCTGAGTAGTGAAATTTCCACTGAGATTGGGATTGGGGTAGTGGTGCATTGTGTACAAAATAAATTGCAGTTTTAAAGGAGATTTTTTTCATAACAATATTTTCCAGATTCCGTGAATATTTTTTTCATTCAATGGTAGGAAAATTGGTAATGAACTCAATTTTTTGATTAATGTTTTAAGATAGAAGTTAGACTTTTGCTTCTGAGGAATTGTACATTTTTAGCACATTAAGTTAGTATTAAAGCACAAAGAACTTTTTTGAAATATTGATAACAATACACTAAGAGCTGAGATGCTTTAAAATATCTTATTGTATGTGGTGGAGACTGTATGAGTGTATGAGGGGCTGAAGTGGCCATTGAGACTCTCAAGTCCACTTCACTCAGCTCTCATTACTCCCGAGTGCCAAGTAGTACATTGGATTGCTGAAATATAAATCTGCTATGGACACGAGGTTGAATAAAATAACTGGCCCATACTCATATTTCAGTTTTCATAATGGCCTAATTGAATTGAACAATTTGTAATTCAATATATTATTCATCCACTTAAATACAATTAGATGACCTTGGGCCCTGGGTAGCCATGAACTAAATATCTGTGTAATTAGAGTCATTGGTTTTGATGGAATAAATTGGGCTAAAGTATATTTCAAATAATTTTTCTCCATAATATTTTTATTGAAATAAGTTTTAACAAGAACCATTCCCAAAATTATATTATTTAAATAGAAAAATTATGGTTTTTAGCTTAAAAATAGTTTCATTATTTTGGTCATCACTAAGAATGACTACTAATTCAATGGGTGCATTAAGATTTTTGGTTTGACTAAATATTGCTTCTATTGCAAAATTAAATCTAATTTGTTATCATTTGTTTTTACAGTTTCTACAGAATAATGATCTATAGGGGACAACAAAAATGATGCATACTTTGTTTTTAAATTTACCATCATGCCAGCTAGCTAATTCATATAGCTATATGACTATATAAGGCAGGAGAGGGTGAATTCAGGAAAATATATTTAGTTCCAAATCTAACGACAAGGAATAAGTAAATTTGAGGTGGAAAATTTGGAAAGTCTTTATAGAGATGTTTACGTTTCTAGATCATCAGGGGAAACATTTGTGAAAAGATGGCAGCAGATGATAAGTCTAGAATGAAAGGTTGAACCTACACTGTGAAAAGCCTTGAATCCAATCCCAATCAACTAGATTTAATTCTGTTCATTTTATTAACGATTGCATATTCTTAAAGGTTTTTGAGCAATGGATACCATAAACATGCATATGGATAAACAGAAACAACAAAGTGAAGAGCAAATAAGATTAACATGTTAACTTGTTTTATGTACCATACTTAATGTATTTCCTGCACTGAAGGATTTTCCCATTGTCCACTTTCTTTTTGTAGGCTAGCTTCTTTTAATACATTTTTTTGATTTTAGAGAGGAAAGAAGAGAGAGAGAAAGAAATAGAAACATCAGTGATGAGAAAGAATCATTGATCGGCTGCCTCCCGCATGCTCCACACTGGGGATCGAGCCTGCAGCCTGGGCCTGTGTCCTGACCGGGAATGGAACTGTGACCTGCTGGTTCATAGGTTAAC